GAACGGCGTTTGGACGCAGGATCGGATATTCGCAGCCAGATGTCCTTGTCGCCCAGATTGCAATTCAGTAGCTCCTTCTTGGAATGGACCTTGCGGTGCCGAACCGCCAGGACTTTGCTGCCTATGGACATTGCACCACCAGGTGGGAGCTTGACCAAATGTAATGTACTGCTGATACATTCAACAAAACTTTGCCAGTCCGATTGCCTGATACTGAAATTCGTGGCCCTCGGCGAATGAAGGTCCTGATATAATGATCGCAGCCAGGGTTTCGCCAATGGAAATAGTTTGAACAACCATTGCAACATACCGCAAATTCTACTTAAGGTCTGGCGATCCGTGTATTTGCCGCGAAGTGCAGTGGAAATGTGCTCCACCAACTTCTCCAGCTTGTCTGTTGGAATGTAAACACATCCCATATCAAAATGCAATTCCCATCCAATCCACTTATAATACAACATCCGAATTGGAGTTTCCTCCAAGATAATGGAATAGCAAATGCACTGCAAAAACAGAGTGTAATGCACAGTCCCATCTCCGCCACAGTAGCAGATTGGTAACCCAGGAAATCATCAACGTACAGGGCCAGAAAATGCGAGATGTAAATGAGCCTGTGCAATGTACGAACAAAGAAGGCCCCCAGCCTGGCGAACCAGAATGCACTGAATGCTGCCCCAAAAGGGCAGACCTTGTAGAAGAAAAGCTTTGGTCCCACACGGATGCCAAGGAGACCTTGCTCTGATTCACGAACTCGAATGGACTTATGAGCAGATTTCACATCAATGGACCATGCCGCCACTGGTTCGTGACGACCCCGCAATGGCCAGGCACATTGAATCGATTGGAGTGTAGGTAGGGAGCTTCGTTCCGGAATGAGACAGGCCGAGTTAGTCCCGCAAATGGATGAGTCCACGACCAACCGTGGTTTGCGACCTGCTGAATGGACAATATTCAACTTGCCCACTGCAACATTCGGCCAGATTTTCCGAGCATCCTCCAACGAATCAATGCACCGAAGCCAACCACTGTCAACTTCAACCTGGACCAGCTCCTCAAGAAGGAGTGGATCAGCCTCCGCACCCTGCCAATTTTCCATAGCAATGGACAGGGAATCTTCCTCCACAGCACGTCCAGACGGTGCAAAACACCCCGACAATGGAATGTCCTGTTTAAAGCCTGTAGGAACGCCCTGAAGCAATGCACCAAAAAGTGAAATATCGCAATCATGCAGAGCTGAGGAAAGCGCCGAGAATGCATGGAGACAGTACGGTTGGTCCGGGGGAATGGACCAATCAACCGAATTTCCTGTTTGCTCCTGCAACCAGTTACCAAAAATGGACTGTACTCTCGCAATGTCCTCGGCTGAAAGGAGACTCTCCTCCTTGGGAGACAAGAGTCTCGACCTGAGTCGTGAAGGAAGATGCGACTGACCACAAAATTCCATAAGCGAGTGTCTGAGCTCCCGCATGACATCCTTGCCGATTCTTTCCTTGCCACTCCAGTCAGGACGACTATGTAAGCCCCCACCATCAACCCAGGCATGAGGAGGCTCATCTATAGATTTACCTGGAATGGAATCCCAGGCATGCTGAACAGAAAAGGTAGCTCCGGGTACACCGGTGGCACCATCAGTAGAAATGAAAAGCTTGCCAAAGGCCTCGATCAATGGGGTAGTGTAAGGGATATCACCTGAACAATGCAAGCAACGTTTGCAAGTGCACACTTCTCCCAATGAAGCAAAAGCCTCCGAGGAGGACACCATGATCCATGGGCGACCTGCCTTGCCCTGAAATGCACAGGGTGGGATTTGCACCACATGTCGAAAACCTGTGGCCACACAGTGAATGAAAAGAGGATCATACCAGCAATTATCCCAAGCAGAGATATCTAAGTGCACAGTCGTGCCACATGAAAAGGCCAGTTTGCAAAGCTGTAATACCCAAATATTATGAGCCGCGCTCCACTCACCAGAAAAGCGAATGAAAATCGTGGAGAAAACCCCATCGGCAGAACAACGAATGACTTGATGTCGCAATGTACCATCTTGTAGGTCCGGCACTGTAATCAACGGCACCGATTGCAGAGACAGCTTTTCCTTATCCACCTGTGCGATGGAACCGAGCCACAGGCAAAATTTGGATGGCAGGGATGTAGACTCAGGTGGCTGGAGAGATGCCACCTCAGCTGTCGGCAATGCATCACATTTGGGAAGCGGAAAACCCCATGCACGGAGAGCCTGAACATCAGTCTCTCGCAACTTGTCAAGATTTCGGCAAGTGTAAGCCGTAATCACCCATCTGTCTCCCTGGAATGGAGCAGTGCCATGCCAAAGAGTACCATCAAATGCAAGGGGTTGGTCACGAGCGTCCACCAAAGCAAACCTGAGATTGCGATTCATCTCTGCAACAAAGTGTGAGTGATCCCCAGACTCGGATTCCAAGAGCAGACCGCCGCCGGTAAAGTTGCCAAGTGTAACTGTGTAGTTCAGAGTGTTCGCCTCATTTGTCGAGTCGCGATGTAGTTTGAGGAGTTCATTGTGTGAAATACACAATGAGCTCCAGGTACCTAATGGAAAAAGCATCGATAGCCAAGAATTCAAGCGGCATAGCACATTTCGATATTGGAAGGTGGCATTTGTCAAACCCAACCTCACCGACTGGCTAAATGCACCGAGATTGTAGTAGGCAGCAACGGGAGATGTACTGGAAATGGCATGCGACCTCCACTTCGTCATTCCCTCCAGAAATGTACCCTGCAGGATTTGCAAAATCTCCTCCGATGAAGTGGAGGTGTGACCTGCAGAGGCCGAAATCCCAGTTGAGGGAAAACCTGCCCAGATGCATCTCCCTCGGCGACATCCGGGCCCCTTCATGACTTATGTAAGTAGGCCGGATGATTCTTTCCACAAGGCTTGCCATTGACATCGATCGCGCAGCCGTGCGCGAATGTACAATCCTCGAGTTTGCATCCTGACCTGAGATTCCATCGTTTACACATCTGCTTCTGAACTCCGGCCTCCATGAATGAAATGCACCACTTGGGGCCGTCGGTCCTGGTCTTGAACTTGCCCTTGCCTTTGCCCTTATTGTCCCGGCCCTTACCGTTGCGATCGGTCAAGGCAGGTGGGCCAGGAGGCTTTAAAGGAGGTCGAGGCTTAGCTGCCATAGCTCGTGGTTGCAAATGAATATGTAAAATGCATCTGACCTGCACCACTTCATGGAGGGCATCGTCAAGGCTCCAACCAGAGTTGGCCAGATCGCAAATGCATCGCCAGGCTTCTTTATCAGCCAGTTGCATTTCATGTACATTCGGTGAACGAAGTCCTGAGTCCCCAACCTGCTTCTGGAATGCAAGCTTGAGGAACAATTTGCTGTATGACCTGAAGGACGACAGGTGTGCAGCCTCAAGGAGACAGAATGCAAAAGCGAGCAGGTCAAGCAAATGTAACAAAAACATCTGGCTGATGCCAGACTCTGGAATCTCACGAAATGGAACTTCATCAAAGATAAAGTCGTCGAACCTGGCAATTTTGCGAGGGCGATTGGAATGCATATCATCGAGCTTCTCTTCACTAACGCGATGCTTCCACGCCACATAGCTGTAATGCTTCTCTTGGCACTGTTTGTTGACAGTCGCCAAGAGGCGAGAAGAAGGCATTGTAGAATGGTCCAGAATCTCTGATGGATAATCGGCCTCAAATTTCGTCTTTAAGGCACTGACCTTCTCATGTCCCAGCTTCGCCGGGAAGGTGTCCGTCCAAGTGGAAGAAGCTGTAAGCGATGATGCAGGAGCTGGAGCGGAAGGGGGAGGGGAAGCAGCCACAGAGACCAAGCTGGTCAGGCAGCGGTGATAGGCTGCTTTCAGGCATGCAATGCAAACTGGATTCATGAGTGCATGCAATGTACCTGGGACTGCCTCCTTAATGGAATCCTCCAACTGCTCGGCGCTGGGTGCAATGCAAGCGAAGCTGTGAATCGTGAGGATTCTGGAAAGCTCGGCTGCAAGGTCTGAGGGCACCTTCTCCTCCTTAAAAATGTCCGACAAGGTGGTGGACATGATCTCCTGGGACACGATGCAGAAGCACAGCTGCCAGGAGAAACGGAAAACAAAAACCACCGAGGGCGATTGCGAGGCAGAGGGTGTGAGCCTAAAGTCACTGCAAAGTGAGTGTAGTCAAGAGTGACTCAAATGCTCGATGAGTGCAATGTGTGCTCATGTTATCATGCTTGCAGATTTGAGCTGCAGAAGGCAGCACCAACAAAGTGCAATCGCAAGGCACTGGCAAACTCAACAGCATTTCAGCAAGGGCAAGGGATCTCAGATGGTGTCCCATCAGACACATTGTCAAATGCATCAACATGGAGGCAGTCGCAAGCACTCTCCGAATGTTTTCTGCACCCTCGCCGCCAAGAGGTGCCAGTCTGCCCACGGGTCTTGTATAGCGACCCAGGCAAAGCTTAAAATGGTCGGGTAACGGGTCCCGAGTGGAAAAGCTAATGGAGATGGCCTCGGTGAGCAGGCATCTCCAATGCAAAATGTGATGCAGCCTGAATGCATCACTTCCAGCTCCAATGGCTGTAACCATGATTCCAATCCCAGTCATGGTCCCAAGTGGAAGTGGAATGCCACTGCTCCGAGCTCCCTCTCGCCTCCGACTGCTGGGGTGCAATGGAACGAGAGCGGAAATGTTCTTTGCAATAGTGGCGAACCGATGAATGTTGTGAGAAATGCGAGTCGTACGGGATTTCGCTCTGATACCCGCATAATGCTTGACAACCAGGCTGTTGACAAGCCGCTCTGCAGCAATTGAGCTGCCTCACGCTC